ACCTCCTCCAAAAAAAAAAAAAAAAAAGCCGCGAGCTGCCGCCCACCCTTCCCGCGGGCGCTCTGCTCCCAGGTGCTCGGCGGCTGCCGAAACCAACGCTCAAACTTGCCTCAACACTTCGGAGCGCGGCGGGCAGTCCTGGCAGAGGGCACCGCGCGCACGGCCGCGCTCCGCCGCCTCTTCAGGAGGGGCTGAACCCCAGGTAACCACGCAGGTGACAGCCACCCCTTTTTTTTTTTTTTTTTTGTTCCATTAAAGCACCACCGCGCAGCGCGGAGCCGCGTGCACACGGGGCCGCCCCGCACACCTGCCCCCGGGAGCGGCTCCCCGCGGCCGGCTGCCTCCCCGCCCGCACCCAGAACGGAGCCCACGCTGCCTCCGCCTTACTCAGTCGCAGATTTTAAAGCGCGATCCCCAACTGATTTTTTTTTTTTTTTTAATTGGTCTGAATTCCCTCCCACATCTATCTCCGAAAAAAAAGAGGCGCAACCCGGAGCGCCTCGCAGCTTTTCCTTCCTTCTCATAAGCGATTCTCTCCGCGCCTCGAAGACCGCTAGGAAAGGGAGGGGCGAGGGAATGGAACAACTTTGAGACCCGCTTCAATTCGGCTCCCAGCTGACACACCGCTTTGATTTTTCCTCCTTCCCCAGTTGCACGCTAAGCTGAGTGACGGAACGCGGAAACAGCGATAATTCGGGGAGAAAGAATTTAAAGAAAAAAAAAAAATAATGATAATAATAAAATCCCACTCCTACCTTGCCCGCTACCGAGGAGCAATCCGAGCAGGTACAGAGGCAGGAGGCTCATGTTCAGCAGCTGGCGCCGGCGGACAGTCCCAAGTTCGATGCGCTCGCAGCCGACACCGCACAGCGCCGCCCGCCAACTGCTGCCCGCACCGCGCCGCGCCGCACTATATCGGGAGGCAGCGGCTCCGCGCAGGAGGCGGGCACACGGCGGCCCGCGCGGATCCCTCCGCGGCACACGCACGGCCGCAGCACCGGCGGGCGATTCCTCCGCCGAGCTAAGTGGTGGTAGCCAGACTGCTGTCTGCTTTCTTGCTCGCTCGCTTGCTTCCCCGCTCGCCGGCAGCCCGGCCGCCGCGGCCCCTCAGGGGCTGCTCCCGCGCCTGACGGGCGGCGGACAGAGGGAGGGCAGCCCGCACGGGGCGCCGTGGCGTGCGGCGGGGCTCTGCCGCCCTCGGCACCCGGCGCTGAGCGGCGTGAAGCAGCGCGCTGCGGGACCCTGTGCGGGTGGCTGCGCCTCGCCGCCGTGTTTTCAGAGCGTTCGGTGCTCTGCTGGCACTCGCGCGTTTTGAGTTTTCTTAGTTGCAGAGAGGGAGAATGCCTCTGCTAGTCACGGCTGTGTAGGAAAGGAAGCCAATGAAAAGTAACTCGCTTACCTTTACTGTACTTTTGCGCTGTCTGGCTGAGAATCTTACTCGGTAACAAATAAAAACCCGCTTTAAAGTAAGGAGATGGATTTCCATCCAGAGGTAATTCTTTGGCTTGCATTAATTAAGCCACGGTCTCCAGAGCAGCTTCTATAAATTTGCAACCATGCCACCTGTGTGATACGTGAAAGGAGACAGAAGTGGATTTATATTAATGTCGAGCAGTGGTAGCAGTTAATAAAAGATTAATCCAAATTAGCGTAGCCCTAATAATTTTTTTTTTTTTTTTTCCCAAAAGGAAAGGGTTTAGGAAGGAAAGGGAGACAAATCTCTCAGCTTGAGTCTTGCTGCACAGTAGTCTTACAAAATTATGATGTAGGAGGAAGAAATGAGACGCTCAGCAGGTCTTGCTGGGATGTGCAAGGCACACAGTAAAACTGGAAGTCTTTTCTGTGGAGGGGACATTTTAGGATGCTTAGAGACATGCACTGCAAGTCGTTGAGGGCTCTCTGCCATTTCTTGGTGAATCTGTGGGATGTCCATCAGGACTTTATGGCTTGATGACATCACAAGGAACCCTGCTCTTGAAAGTAAAAGTGTTTTCAGCCTATTATAAAAGGAACAGATTAGTTTTCAAGTACCTGTAAGCAGACATGGAATTGTAATTCCTCCTCGTGTAGTTTTGGAAATCCAAAATGAGTCAGCTTTGGTCGAAACTTTTAGGTGACAAAAGGATTTCTACTTTGGAGCCATTCTGCTGGATGTCTTGCAGACACCTCTGGCTAGGGTCCTTAGCCCAGGTTCAGGAAAGCACAATGAAAGGAGGCTTTTTGATGGCTGTTTTCCCATCAGATAAAAATACTATGTCAGCCACAGTGCCCAACTGCAGAAATAGACATCAATAATGAAGTGATACAGAAAGATTAAATCAAGTATCATGCAAAAACCTTTAATGAAATGTAAATCTTACTGGACAGAAATCAAGAAACCTTCACTGTGAAGTATGTAAGATGCTATTGTCAAATTTATCTTTGGTTTCAATGTGTTTGGAACATTACCATCCAGCAGATGTGCAACAAATACAGTATTAACCAAGACAACAAATCTGCTTTAGTTAAGGGCCAGAAGTAATGCAGAAGCACCTTGGTTTCCACATGTACATAGACATGAAATCAATGTACAGCAGGCATCCCAGACAATACAGAAGAAAGCAGGTAAACTGTTCTCCATGTGAACTACACATAATAGAAAGAATGCTATTGTGATAAATCTTCATCACTGAAGGAAGAGGCAGCAGCTGGTTCATCCACCAGTAGACACACAGGTCCAGAGGCAGCAGCTGTTTTGTCCATCAGTAGATACAGAGGTCCAGGTATGCTTATATATATCGTCTCTTACCTGGTGGATATGTTGCAAGGATCCTAAGACTATGGAGTGGAGGGAAGGAGAGGAGATGGGGAAAAGATATGTTAGTATGCAGGGTTTTGTTATTTCTTACTGAAAACTCATTTCTTACAGAAGAGTGATTTCAAAATATGTATCACACTGAACCAGAGCAGCAGATCACACTGAGGTCATTCAATCAGAGATTAGAAAGATGCAGGAAAAGTGCTCAGGTTTTCTGCCATCCTTATCTATATGGCTCTATAATCTATATTATATAGATTATACAAAATACACAAGTAATCTATATTTGTGACCATACATTAAATGGACCAAAAGATGAGCATTTCAAAGTGCTGTAAAACACTAATCCGTGTCGATGATATACCTGTAATGCTTGTCATTCTTTGTTTAATTGTATTTTTCTTTAAAGAGAATACTGTTTACTGGGGGGAAACCTGACAAGGAGTTTTGTGGCTGTGCTTAAACTAGGGAATTAGAAGACATTTATGGATAATAGAACATGCATAATAAACATAGAATCAGTTAGATTGGAGTAGACCATCAGACATGATGGCAGAGAACAAATACATTTTCATGCTATGATTGTTTTAGAACTACTGTATCAGAAATCAGCTGCATTGAGCAGCATCTCATATGAACTACCAAGGGATGTATCTTCAAGAGGAGGATTTTACCCAGGTGGCTATTTCAAAGGTGGGGGCATTAACTTTGACATGTTCTTGAAGCAAATTAAAATACAGAGACTGAAAAGTCTTGCTGGAAGAATCTCAGGCAAGAGAAGGAAAAATATTACATAATATTACATACATATTTGATTAGCACCATAGATCTACTTCGGATCTACTACTAGATCTATACCACGCTCAGAATCAAAGTGTTATATGTAAATTTCATGTTTGTTGTTTTTTTTTTTTTTTCTTACATGCAATATTCTCCAGCTTCCAGTTGTGTATGCTGTCATACACAACTTTTCTACTAAAAAGTTTTACTACTTGTGAAATTAGCAAAAAGATAGAAAGATACCAAGAATGGCCTTTTCCCCGTGTAAGTTACCTGTTTAACTCAAAGTGATTGCCTATATGGTAGCCTATCAGCTGGTATGAATAAATGTGTCAGAAATGGGCTCTGGCAACAAAACTGTTTTAAGCTTTCATCACTGCATTTAAGTCAGTTTAGAAGAACGGGATCCATAAACTTGCTGTGACTGAACTTGTTTATAAAGACCCGTCTCCATGGTGTTTTTGCAGTCTAAACAGGAATAGCAAGGATTACTTTATTTTTAAATTGATTGATGATTGCATGTTCGATGCAAATGTAATTAAGTAGAGAAATTTAAATCTAAGCGATGATTTCATAATGGATATTTATACTGAAATACATGTTTCCCTGTGGACACCCAAGTTGCCGTGGGATCCATCTGGTTTTGCTTACTTGTCTTACATAAACTGAAATGTTAAGGAAGAGCCTTAAAGTTAGTCGAGTTTTTTGGGGGGTCATAGGTTTGTGCCACAGTTACAAAGAAAACAAACAAAAAGAAATAACTGGTAAACAGTTAGCAGAAACAGAATGCTCTAGGGCAGCCATCAAATGTTTTCTGGATGGGAAAGGAGAGAGAAAAAGAAAAGACAACAAGAGAAAAAGAAAACAACAACCTTCTCACAAACCTAGTATCTTCAGCTTGCAAGAAAATGCCTTCTGCAGACATTTAGGGTAATTTTCAGAGGTGCTCATTGAACCAAATTGCTGATCATCTCCAAAGTGAGTAATTATCCCAAATAGAATGCGTTCCTATGAACGTTGAAAGCACAATTAAAGTGGCACTAGGATAAATTATACAACAGTGAATAACAGCATTGTTGTGGTGAGGAAATGATGCACAATAAACAAAAGGCAGTTTCATAAGTGGTTGCACCACTATTATGTTTCAAGTTCTTAACATCTTATAAAAACTTTTATAAAGATCTAAAATTACTACATTTTGGATTAAAATTTTATGAGAAAAAGTAAAAAAAAATGTTTCCATTCTCTTTCAAGTGGCTTTAAATAAAGAATTCTCCTTCCCGTTAGAGAAACATAAAAAGATCTTGAGATTACTCAGATGCTAAGAAGAGACTCATGGATTTTGTGCAAGGAGGATAAATTCCTGTACCACTCCTAGAATTGAATAATGACAAGTGCATGTGTGAAATTATTTTTCCAGGTAAGATGACTGCTTAATTCTAAAAGATAGCAAGGTTGCTTGAAGTACAGTGTGCTAATTTGATCACAATATAGAACATTGTGCTGACAAAAGAAATCAATACAATGAATTTATATGTCTGAGGGAAATATTGTAGTGCAGCAAAAGTAGTGTTTGAGAGATCAGAAAAGGTAGTTTGTCTGAATTCTAGAAGTAAAATCTTTGTTTCTTCCATGTTACCACATTTCTAGATGTATGACTTTATTCCTTATCTCCATTCAGTCACTCAAATAGCCACGAACTCTCAACAGTCATTGTCAGCCTCAGATGTGAGGCTGTGATTATTTCACCTGAGAATGAAGCTGCCCGTGCTACGGGTGGTGCTCCACTTGGCTCAAGTGTAACTGCTCACATGTTCAGCAATATGGCATTTGTGTACTTTACCTCTGTTATGGTTTGCTTGTTATCTACAACCACTCTGCCACCTTTTTTTTTTTTTTTTCATGCTAGCACAGTTTTTTAATGTTAGGTAGACATTTCTTCATGAATATTTTATTATGGTGGCATTGGAAATGAGACAACAACAAAGTTTGTTGACCCTAGCCAAGATGTACAGAAGACATTTCAGTATGTGGAATAGCAAAGAATGGTTGCTACACAGTAAGAGTTTGAACAACGGACGATTTTAAAGTGATTGTGTGTGCAAAAGACAGACCACTGTTCTATGACTGTGGAACTTGTTTCCAGAAGTGCTTGGAATCATCATAAATTTCAGAAACATTTGGAACAAAATTTAAATCACACTTATTCAGCCATCCATACTTTCATTAACAGCAAACACCAAAAACATATTAAAACCCAGACCAAAGAAATAAAAGCTATCTCCAGAATGTGAAATTAGAGCTCAAATAGAAATTAGAAAGTTTATGAATACATTTGAGTCACACTTCTATATCCTGATGCTAAATGTGCCTCACATTTAAAGCACTGTCTGGGTTAAACATAGTGTATGGGGTTCGCAATTTGACTACCCCAGGTCCATCTCACCGTCCTGTTTCTCATTGGAACCAAGCAACTGCTGGTTTACAACACATACAAATGAGAAAAGAGGTATGATGGCCAAAATGAAGGATGTCAGCAGCCAGTGAAATCTTTGTGGAGGACTTAGAAATACATAAATAAGACTAGGAAGAAAGGATAAGTTGTTTTAAGTATATTAATTTATCCATGTTCTAAAGGAACTGGGTCCACAAGTTCAGCTGTCAGCACATAGGAAAGGTCATGCTAAAAGAGTTCAGTTAGTTGTAAATTTAGGTAGAGATTATTAACTAAACAATGATGTGAAAGCCAAAAGATTGTAGATTTTGACTTCATGCTGTTATAAAGGGGTGTATTCTAAAAAAGCAGACTTTATATCAGCACTTACCTTTTAATTTAATTTGAGACCTACAACTTTGGAAGTTCTTATTCATGAGCAGACATCTGCTCCTTTGCTGAAATATTCTGAGCTCCTGACACGTTCTAGCATTTTGATA